CAAGCATAGCAACGGAGGCGGGACGCTGGCTTTGGGGCCACTTTTTGTGGCTACTTGACTTAATACCTGCAATAATTATTATAACGATGCAGAGCGAAATCTTTTTAACGCCATAAAAAAGGCCAGGCCGAGGGACTGCCAGGCAATAAAAAGCGGCTCGGATAAGCACTTGGACTTTGCATTGAGCGATTTATTTTCGCATATAGAAAACAATTTATGTCCAATGATTTGGGCCCGGCAAACGATTACGCTACAATTTCGCCAAAGTTGGAGGCAATGAAGCTGGGCAGTTGAAGAGTTTTGTATGGATGGAAAGCAGGACGATTTTAGAGCAGATTTAGATTAAGCCTCAGCTTGAAATAAGCACAGTTTGAGGCAGGCTTCAATATCATTTGCATTGCACTGCTTTTATTCTATTGTTATGTATATAAAGATCATGTGAAAACGTGAAGGATTTATATAATGAGATTGAAATTGTAATTCTAATTTTCTGGCTAACTGTATTAATTGAAAATTAAAATACATTTAAATTTATGTAAATTAAAGACACATTTTATATCTACATATATTTGTCAGAGGATTATAAATGAAAAAGGTTTTAGAAGAAGAATTTTGGAGAATTTAACAGGAGTCTTAAGTGCAGAAAATCTTCTTCCTAAAACTATCACAGCTTTAGATAGTTCATAATATGTTCCACTGCTTTTATACAGATATTTATCATATAAATATAATATATATATTAAAAATTCTTCTATTGAAAGACTGTAGTATGATTTCTACAAATTTTAGTCATTAAATATTTAATTTCATATATTATAAGCAATATTTCTGCTCTCTCACACATTTAGCTACCTTTCAATTGAATTTGTGTTCGAAATATATCTCTTTTTGGCAATTTCCTATCCCTTTGCAACTATTTCCATAAGGCAATTCAAACAGATATCATAAATTGGAACACTTAACGCATAGATCGCATTTAAGTGCCATTTGAATATGGCGCCATGTGCCTTTGGGCGCTGAACACGCCTTTTCATTAAATTCAATTTTAAAAAGAGAAATTTTTAGTGCCCAGCCATAAAAACTGGCCAGGAGCTGGGCGCATACACAATAAGAATGGATGAAAAAATAAAAAAAAAAAAGGACGACGTATCGCGAAGGTCATCAATTACGGGGCCCACAAGGCACGTCGTCTGCATGGCTAACAACAACAACAGCAGCAGCAACAACAACAACAACAACAGCGCAACATGAGGCAGTTGCAAATAACTTTGCTGAAGCTCACATTATCCGGCCATAAGCACAAGTAGGAAACAGCTCAGCTTCTGGTTCTGGTTCTGGTTCAGGTCCAGGTCTGGGGGAAACTCTCACGCCTCTACTCTGGCGCATTTGGCGTCTCTCTGGACTGCCTGACTGGTTGGCTGGCTGGCGGGCAAACACAAAAATGAAATGCTCTGCAGATATTTCAAAAGCCATTGACACCCTTTCGGCGAGGAGTGGCAGCGGCTGCTCGAGGCCTGCCTTTGAAAAGCTGAATGACCAAATAAATCATATCAAAGTGTCATATAAAAATCGTAATCAGATTTTGAAGCACATACAGGGAGAGAGAGAGAGAGAGCGAGAAGGGGAGAGCGCAGCGTGGACGCAGCGACAACAAGACAGAGAGAAATATGTTCACCATACTCATACGCCCCGTAAGCCGACTCCATTAAAAGTGCTTATAAATAAGGTGCTTGAAAGGCAAGTGCAGACACACACCCGGGCTGCCCGCCGTATTGCAGAGCACACAATGGAGCATTCGGGGCTCCATAACCAACAAGCGTTGCAGCAAATGTGATAGCCAAAAGCCGAAATACGGAAACCGCCGCCCATCGCCCAGTTTTGAGTGTGTGTAAATTGCAAAGACTATTTGACAAACGTCGGTCAAAAGCCCAAAACACGGCACACACACACACACATGGCTCGCACTCACATGGACACAGAGACAAGTCGACGACCTGCTCTGGATTTTTGTTTAGCACTCGCTGTGTGATGGCATCTCTTGGATCTCGACTCAGCTCGACTCGACTCGACTCGACTCTGCTCGGTGCACAGTTAATAAAAAATAATGTGCTTCAATGCGGTTTATTCAATTTTATGGTCGACTTTTCAAAAAAGCCCGCACCACACAACGGCCATCCAGCATGGGCCAAAGCCCCTCGCCCCTAGGCCCTCAGCCCCTCTGCCCCTTGCTCCTTCTACTTGGCCTTTATTAAAAAGAAAATAGAATTTTCGGTTCGGTTCAGAGTGCCATGTGGGCGTGCCTCAGCATGGCATGGTGAGCGGTTTGTGCCGAATCATACACACATACATACATAAACACACACACACACACACGACCGCCCATAATGCGCTGTTGGTCGCTGATGTTGGCCGCCTTTTTTGAATATTTATGAGTTTGCTTTTAAAATTATAGATGCAGAGGGGCCAAAGGCTGCTGAAAGCTGCTCCACAGCCTCAGCTCCAGCTCGGTGCGGTTCAGTTCAGTTTCGGTTCAGTTTTGGTTTGTCCATATTGTCCACTTGGCACTGCGTGCTGAGTGCGTGCCAGTGTTTGGAAAGTGCACAAGACAATCTCACTTGAGCTATTTATCAAAGCTTTGGACTCTGGCAGCCTGATGGCATTTGCGATGGGCGGCTTAGCTCACATATTGATGCGAGTGAGTGAGTGAGAGGCGTAACACTATAAATTTAATAATAAATATGCCAAGGAATTTAAGAGTATGCACGTATCTAATAGAGCAATAAAATCATAATAGATAATTCAAGGAAATAAATTCAACTTGTGCCGAAATATAAATTTCCMAAAATATTTACACAAATTGCATGAACTCAAATAGGTATATGTGTATATGTATTTGTATATATATCATGCTCTAAACTGTACAAAAGGCAAATCTAAATTGCAATGCGATAAATGCAAATATCCAATTTCAGTTATTTGAGCAAATGCTTAAAGCGTTTAAAATTATACGCATAGAGTGGAGGGGCAGATGAGTGTGCGGTAGGTGTGGTCGTTCAACCAAAACTCCAATTCGAATCGGAGTTTAACGTCAATAATTGCCTTCAATTACATTTATTTATTTGCACGCACTCGCCCCCACTCGCCCCCTCTCGCTGCTGATGAGCTCCTGTTGTTGATGATGCTGATGCTGATGCTGCTGCTGCCTAGGCCGGACTCTGGCTGTGGCAGGGCGATTGGTTTCGCTTTGATTCGCATTTCATTTATGCATGGAGTCTACTGGGCACGTCTACTATTTTATTTTATTTTATTTCACTTTTTTTGCTCCTTTCT